AGCCTATTTCCAGGTCTTATTACTACTTGCAAGAATTGTTTTTGCTTTGGCTTTTCATTTTCTACTTTTTGTAATATACCATTTGTGCCTCTTTCTACTTTAGAATATTTGTGGTCCTTAAGAGTGAACCTGCCACCTCCGGTATATGGGGCCGGCACCCTACTCCTTTGAGCCACAGGCGCCACCCTGAATTTCTTTAATATAGATACTGCAGTGTCACAAAGCAAACAAATCATCGTATCTTTAGCAGAAACAAGATAATATTGCAATTCCCAATCCTCATTTAAAAATCTGGGTTTTTTTCTTTTTTTTTTATTTAATTGAGACAGTCTCACTTTGTCTCCCTTGGTAGATTGCTGTGGCATCATGGCTTACACAGGGGTCCTCAAACTTTTTAAACAGGGGGCCAGTTCACTGTCCCTTAGACCGTTGGAGGGCTGGACTGCAGCCACAGGACCAGTGGGCTGCTAAGCAGGACAGGCAGCAGCGGCAAAAACACCCGGTGGGCTGGATAAATGTCCTCGGCGAGCCACATGTGACCCACAGGTCGTAGTTTGAGGACTCCTGGCTCACAGCAAACTCAAACTCTTGGGCTCAAGCTCATATCTTGGCTCAGCCTCCCTAGTAGCTGGGACTACAGGTGTCCACTACAGTGCCTAGCTTTTTTTTTTTCTTTTCTGTTTAGCAGGCCTGGGCTGTGTTCAAACCCACCAGCCCTGGAGCATGTAGCTGGTACCCTAACCACAGAGCTGAGGGCGCCCACCCAAAAAATTATTTTTTTGGAGACGGAGTCTCACTATGTTGCCCTCTGTAGTGTGCTGTGGCATCCCAGCTCACAATAACCTCTAACTCTTGGACTTAAGTGATTCTCTTGCCTCAGCCTCCCAAGTAGCTTGGACTACAGGCACCTGCCACAATGCCCAGCTATTTTATTTTGTTGTTACAGTTGTCGTCGTTTAGCTGGCCTGGGCCATGTTCAAACCCGCCTGCCTCAATATATGTGGCCAGTGTCCTACCCACTGAGCTATGGGCGCCTACCAACATCGGTTTTTTTCCTTCATAGTTCTGTTGGTCTTTTTGACATGATGGGCTTTTAAGCAGACAGAATTAAAAAAATACTGTCAAGCTGTGCATCTATTTACAAATTTCACTTCAGACAGAAACATAGTGCACTGTGGTCAAAAGGTGATAACAGACTGACATATTCAACTCCCATAAACTCTTCCCAACCAGCCTCTTGTGGTAGTAGCGCCAGTCAGATGGGGGAAGTTAGAACTAAATCATGAGTGTAGTAGCTATCAGATTAGCCCTTATGGTTTACTAAAGTTTTAATTGTGCTGGTCAATCTGGGAGGATTATTTCGTTGAAACTTATTTTATTCTTTGGTATTTTAAATATGTTCATTTAAAAAATAAAAATATAAAAGATGGACTATAATGTATTAGTAAAAATAAAAGGTTTTGTTCTGTAAAATTTGGATTCAGTCAAAAAGCTACACTTAAGGACTTAAGGCCACAGGTTCCCCACCTCTGGTCAAGTGCTAATTGTAAATATATCACATTCCTAAGTTCTAACAAATTATCAAACCTGGAGGGGCAGGTACTGGTAGTACTATATTTGTAGCCATCTGGTTGGAGTTAACAGTGGCCTAGGGAACCTCAAGCTTGCAGTTGGTGTCTGAAGTAAGGGCAGTTTTATGCACCACTGGGCCTTCAAACTGTGAAATTCAATCTAACTCTAGGTAGTTGGTCTCAGAAGACATTGCAGCTAAAGCCTAAGATTATTAGGGAGTAAGCCTGCTATTGGATTTCCTTCCAGTAATAAATTCTTCTGGATTGTGAGTAAGGTAGAAATTTAACTTTTTTTTTTTTTTAAGAGCTTTTAGCCTTGAATTTTATTATCTCTCATATAAATATTGTAATCCATAGTTTGTTTACATTTATTTTTTCCTGGTGTATATTTATCCAGCTAATTATTTATTTTTATTTTTACTATTTTTATTGTTGGGGATTCATTGAGGGTATAAGAAACCAGGTTATACTGATTGCATTTGTTAGGTAAAGTCCCTCTTACAACTGTGTCTTGCCCCCAAGAAGTATGCCACACACTGGTAGGAATTTAACTTTACTGGTTCACCTATTGAGTAGATATCTCACATGAAATATTTTAGAATGAGATAAGCTGACCAGGCTTGAGCACTTGCATAGTCTCATGAGCCCACTTTTCTATGCAGCATTCCTCATAATAATACAGCAACCAGATTATCTCACCAATATTTTCTTCTACTTCACACCCTGCAGTTCCCCCAAAAGTTATTTTGAGTGAGGAGAATGGCAGTTTAGTTGACAAGCAGCTGGTCCTTTCTTTGATGTTGTCAGGCCATTTTTTAATCCCAAAAGACCTTAATGTCTGGCTTTTGACATGAGAATTAGGATTTTGGAAATTGTATTCCATACTTTTGTGGATTCTATTAGTGGAAAGTCAGCTATCATTAAATTTTGTCACTTCTTTGTAGGTAATATCTGTCTTTTTTCTCTAGGTGTTTTTATAGTTATCTCTTTGCATTTGGTATATGATGGTTTTAGTTGGACATGTCATACCAATTGTGACTTTCTGCTTGGAATTTGTTGGGATTTCTGAACCTGAAATTTGAGATGTTTAATCAGTCTTGAAACTTTTCAGCCATTGCTTCTCCATTACTCTATTTTATCTCTCTCTTTTTTTTCTTTTTTTTTTTTTGTGAGACTAACTGTGTCACCCTTGGTAGAGTGCTCTGGCATCACAGCTCACAGCAACCTCAAACCCTTGGGCTTAAGACATTCTCTTGCCTCAGCCTCCCAAGTAGCTGGGACTACAGGTGCTCACTATAACACCCGGCTATTTTTTGTTCCAGTTGTCATTGTTGTTTAGCTGGCCTGAGCTGGGTTCAAATCCGCTACCCTTGGTGTATGTGGCTGATGCCATAACCACTGTGCTGCAGGCGCAGAGCCTTGCTTTTCTTTTTTAAAGGATTTTTTAAAATCTATTTTTCTTCCAGAAACTACAAGTAAGCATCCATTAGATTTTTTGACTCTATATTTTATATTTATTAACCTCTTTTCTTTGATTTCTTTTCTTTTTCTCTCTATACTGTATTTTCTGCAATTTCTGCAATTATATATGTATTCCAGTTCACCACTAATCTCTGTAGTATATCTACTATACTGTTATCTGTTTATTAATATATGTATGTATATATGTATGCAGTAGAACTGTAAGTTGACCACCCAAGGGACTATAACAAACTGGTCACCACATGGAGATGGTGAACAAAACTAGGCCTGATGTACTGACATGTACATGTGGAGGATGTCCAGTCTATGAAAATTAGGTCAACATGAGGTGGTCAATGTAGGAAGGTGGTTAACTATGGATGTTCTACTGTATATGTTTTTTATATTATAATTTTTTTAACCCACATCTTTCTCATTAGCTTAAATGATCTTTTGTTCTTTAGACTATGCTATGTAGTTTATTCTTTTACATTTATTTAAAAGCTCAATTTTATGAATTTGGGATATAGAGTCTGTTCATCATTGATTTTCTATTGGCCATGAAGTCAATGGTAACATAGGATGTTTTATGTGTTTGGATGTCATTTGTATATGGTTAGCATTTAGATACACATGCTAAAAATGTATATACAAAGATAAGATTTTGCCCCTTTTGAGAAAGGAATATAGGGACAGGCTATATGATAAAAAATCACAAAAATTTCACTCATAATTCTCTTATATTAATAATAGGAATTTATATCATATTAAATAAGATTTTGTTATTGTAGGAATCACTGACACTGGAGGATGTGGCTGTGGAATTCACCTGGGAGGAGTGGCAGCTTCTGGGCCCTACTCAGAAGGACCTGTATCGGGATGTGATGCTGGAGAACTATAACCATTTGGTAGCATTGGGTAAGGAAAGTTCCCCTGTGTCACACTGTCCTTTTCTCACCTAATGAAAGCTTTGTAGTCACTGTAGTGTGGTGAAGTGTTAGATTTTCAGTTCCATTTGTGGCCCCAAATAAAGTCTAATCTCTTATATTCTACAAGAGAATTTTCACTTTGCATATAAAAGATTGTTTTGTTCATCAAATGTATTATTTTTCACTCTTGATATACTATACCCCAATTCAGTATGTCTGTATCATTCATCTTTTCCCATGAACAGGGTATCAAGCTAGCAAACCAGATGCATTCTCCAAGTTGGCACAAGGAGAAGAACCATGGATAATTGAAGATAAAATCCAGAATACGAACTGTCTAGGTGAGTTAGTGAGAACCAGGAAGGGCACTGACTGTGGAAGTCTTGTTCTAGTATGTAATGTAAGGTGTCACAGCACTAAAGCATGTAAGGATACCTAACTAGCTCCTCCACATATTTCTTTTGCCATATGAGAACTTAAAAAAAATTTTTTTAATGTCATCAAACATAAGTCTCTTATTTTTATTTTTTTCAGCAATGTAAGCCTGAGGAGAAACATAATTCTTTTGATTTATTTCCCTCAACCACTTAAAAATGTTTAAAAACATTCTCAGCTGTTGGACCATTCAAACATAAGAGGTGGCCAGGGTTGGGCTGCAATGCCAGAGTTTGCCTCCCAACTGACCCCTGATCTAAAGAAGCATTTCTGAAACAAGCAACATCAGCCCCACCTGGGAACTTGTCAGAAATGCAAATTTCCAGCCCCTCCCCAGACCCACAAAATCAGAAACTCTGGGGTGGGGCCCTGTAACCTATATTTTAACAAGCCCTCCAGAGGATTCTGATGCCCAATTTGAGAACCACTGATCTAGACCTATGATTCTCAACCTTGGCAGCCCATCAGAATTCCCTAGGGGAGCTTTTTTTTATTGTTTCAGGTTAATTTGAAGGTACAAAGAATTAGGTTACAATGTTTGCATTTGTTAGGAAAAGTCCCTCTTATAATTGTGTCCCACCCCCAAGAGGTGTGCTATATATACACCCTAACGTTGTGCCCATTAAGTGGGAGCACACCCATCCTGCTCCCCTCTCCCTGCTCCTTCGTTCCCCCTCCTCCCACCTTGAATTAATTTGAGTTTTTCTCCCTTTTTTTTTTTTTTTTTTATTTGAGACGGAGCCTCAAGCTATCCCCCTGGGTAGAGTGCCATGGCATCA